AGCCCCAGCCCAGAGATGGGAACAGTATTCCATGTGCGGCCGACCCTGCGCCTTGTAAAGTTGCAGGCGGTGTGCCGGCATGAGATACCGTCCCGCTCTGCTGAGCACGCCAAGCTTTTTAGAGACCAATTTGGCCTTCTCTTCCAAGTGACCACGAAACTGCACGTCGACGACGTCGACGCCGAGGATTCCGATACTGGCTGAGGCAACAAGGGGAGTGCCTTGAAACTGAGGAGATACCACAAAGGGGTTCTTTTTAGCAGTTAACGCGCAAACTTGTGTCTTCTGGGGGTTAAACTGGACTAGATTTAGTCGCCCCCAATCCGAGACTCTGTTCAGCAAAGACTCGACTTCAGAGTTTGTCCCGGCACTCGGAGAGATTTTCCCGAGAAATATTGGCTCGGCCGGTGTGAAGAGCATCACCAGTGCTGTCATCTGCATAGCAATGCATGTTACGGGTTTGCAACATCATTCATCATTGATATGCAGAAGAAACAGCGTTGGCGATAGCACGCAGCCTTGTGGAACACCAGCATTAATAGACCTGCAATCGGAGCTTGCACCGTCTACAACGACCTTGATGCTCCGATCTGCAAGAAAGCTGGTGATCCAATCGCACAATTTCTCGGGAAGCCCATAGGATCCCGATCGAAGGCCTTCGCAATGTCCAAACTAACGGCCAACGCCTCCTCCTTGGACTCTACTGCCTCCGCCCATCTGTGAGTTAGGTAGACCAGATGATCACCAGCTGACCGACCTCGGCGAAAACCGTATTCACGGTCACTAATCAGCTGATGATCCTCAAGTGCCTCATGAGCTGGCAGTTTACAATGCACTTCATTGTTTTGGAGAACAAGGAGGTGATGGCGATAGGTCGGTAGTTGGACGGTTCTGAGCGGTCGCCTTTTTTAGGGATCGAGTGGACGAAAACCGTATTCCATGATTTTGGGACTACGCCTAGGGTGTAGGAGTACCGGAAAAGACGCGTTAAGACCGGTGCCAACTCTGATGCACACGTTCTCAGCACAATTGGGGGATACCGTCGGGCCCACTCGAATTGTGGATGTCCAGGGAGAGGAGTGATTTGCGAACCGAACGCTGTGTGAATCGGACCTCCGGCATGGAGCACTCATACCGCGGGATGGTCGGCGGCGTACTCCTCCCGTCATCCAGAGCCGAGTTGGACGCAAAAAAAGAGCTTAGCAGATCGGCTTTCTCGTTTGCGGCATGTGCCAGTGAGTCGTCCTCCCTGTGCAGAGATGGGAGATGGCTGACAGAAATTCACCTGGACAGCCTTGGTGAGAGACCAGAATGCACGGGTTCCAGAAGGAAGGCGAACTAGTTCTGCCAATTCTGCCTATGTGCTCTGACTTTGCCTTAGCAATGACTCTTTTGAAGCACCTAAAGGCGGAATTACACTTCTTTTTTAGAGCGCTGGTATTTACATCCCGGGAAGCTGACCTACCTGATGCGTCAGCCCAGGCTTGGTAGCTGCTTATATTTAAGCTACTTTTCTTTCTTTGCTTTGCATGACTTAAGAACAAGAGGTAGTAAAGCGGTGGTTGGTCGAGGAGGTAGACGTGGGGGTGGACGCGGTGTGAATAGAGGGGTTGGACGTGGTCAACAACGGGGGGGGGGGGGACGGGACGTGGACTGTGAACAAGAGGTGGTCGAGGGCGATTGCATGAAATTGAAAGGTGTGTGTTTATTTTTACTAAGTACATATTTATGTTTATGCAGCTGCAGCTGATTTCGTAATATACTGTTTTAATGATCGCCGTTATATGTCGGGGACATAATTACAACGGATCCAGATTCCACGACGGTACGTGTTGGGAGCCCACTAGAGAAACCCATGCACCAAAAAGTGCCACGGCGTTGGGTTCCCAACCAGCCTTCGCCGTTGTTGGAAGTTTTTTTTTTGCTGCTTTTAAGAGGATTGTGAAGCTGTAAATATTCATACAAAAAGCGATAACGTTTTCCCACCAGTAAACATAGTCTAATTTTCATAATTTTTGGAAATGTTGTAGATATAACAAAAAACTAGGTCCGTACGTTTTCATTTTAAAGAAATATTACGTATTGTTACGAGCTTGAGGTTCGTGACAATAAAAATTGCAACTTAGCCGCGCAACAGTATTATATAAGTTATTAGCATCTAAATATCTATATTTTGACTTAAAAACTTCCTCGAGCTTTTTTATTTTTCTTAATTAAACTAAACTGAATTACTAAGAAAGAAAAACGTACAGACCTAGACTAAGGTGTACTGAATCTAATGATACAAAATTATCTCATTTCGTAAAGGTTTAGGGGGTAAAAATGTTATCGCCCGAAACAATATTTCAATAAAGAAATGTAGGCATTTGCTTCCAAGACTTGCAACTGTAGTTGTGGTTTGTTGTTATTAGATGTCGGAGATTTTATCTATATATGTATAGATTTGACGGTTACGTGGCGCAGTAACTCAGCAATGAGTTATAGCGCTGAGGTCCGCGGGTTCGAATCCCGCACGGCAAGTATTTGTTTGGCCTACAAGTAATTGTTCCGGGTCTGGATGTTTGGCCTTGTGCAATTTACGTATATAAAAACTGCCTCCACGATACAAGAGAAAGTCCAAGTGTGGGGGTAACGTAAAAAAATAGTAATTAAAAAAGATATTATTATAGCCTAGGGAGAAGAAAGAAATACCGAAAACCTACACAAATAATACTTCTTATGAAAAAATAATATCTGTGAATAACTTCATTAAGTATTTAGTCTCTTTAAGAGTCTTTATTGAATAAGGACTGTAACTTAAAAAGATTTCGATATTACACTTAATTAGGTAGGTGTATAAACAAAAAAGTAACAACTTGTGGAAATTATTTTTTATTACTACATATTACTTTATTACACTCTTTCTTGAGCTGCCATATTTTTGGGCACTCGAGGGTCAATCAGTTTTGGTAATAAACACTGAAAATAAAATAAGTTACGTTTTGGCTGAATTTTTTCTGTCCAAAAGTGGTCATCGTACTTAATTTTTTCATACGCCAAAACATGTACAGTCTTACTACAAAAAAGCATTTAAACACTGGTCCAACATGTGTTTATTTAGAAACGGACTTAACGATCTACGCGGCCAAAATTATTTTATGTTCGATAATGGTTCTAAACGACATTAGTAAATGAAACAAAGGTTTTAATATTAAACGAGAGATTATTTATTAATATTATTCGAGACGTATTTATTCAAAACAAAAAGAAAACATCAAAAAATCTATAATTTTTCAGACAAATGTTCATCTTCGCTTTCTGAAGAATGACCAGGTTCATTCGGATTCGCAGGCATAAGTAGAGCAATTGTTTCTGGCAAGAAAGAATTAAGTTTTCTACTTTTTACACTTCTCATGCTACTTAACAGAGGGTCCGAAGTCAAAAAAAGCCGGTTAAAAATGTATCTGTTGCAGTTTTCTCTAGAAAATTTTCGAGCGAATTCTTGGCGGTATAACCTGAAATGCTTATTACGCGCTTCCGCGGCCTCTTCGGAGAGCTGCCTAATGGGTAACAATGAATTTTTATTATAATTGCACCATGTATAAGGATTTTGTGCATTGTTGGTGTCATAGGGTGCCATAGATCGACATATAAGCGAGCAGTATCTAGTGCATATTTGTCGTATTTTTCTGGATCGATTATATGTCCACTCGAAATCGTTTCTAGTTTGACTTTTAATCTGTATATTAGTTCATGACTAATGCCCGTTTTATCAGAAGCTGACTGAGGATCAAAAAATCTTCTGCTGGTGTTGCCGTCATTAGTATTGCCGAAATTTGCCTTTGGCATATCTACTATCAAACCAGTTTCTTTTCAAAATCTGGCTTGAATTTCCAGTTTCTTTTCATTTTCGATTTTTTTTTCGGCTTCTGTTTTCCTCTCTTTGTATTTTTTTTACAGGCAATTTATACGCCAAGTGGAGAATGCTTTCGAAAAGACGAATTCTCGCATGTAAAACCGAAAGACCAAACTCCATAGCTTCAGGATTTATCTCTTTTTCAACATCTAATCGGTTGAAATCCTTAGAAGTCGCACCGCATATGTAGCACCGGCTTGTGGATTTTGTGCCTGTGGCAGCATTGCAGACTTTACCGTCTACCATTGTCATGATGAATGATTGTTTCACTAAAAAATTTTCACCATTTAAATCAACCTCTGTTGCCTTTAGTGAATCAGAGAGTTTTTGACGTAATTAATTTCTTCTTCCGTTATGTCGGTACTCTCTTTTACGAAACGGAACCTGATTGGCCGGCAATATCGTGGAGAAGAGGGTGTTGGGTTTTCCCATACAATCTTTTTTTCATCTTGGCCACAAACCAATCGTAGAGGGACGAAACAGCTCTGAAATATATTAGCATCTGAATCAGCATCATTTTCAAATTTTTGTTTGTACTTAGATTGCTGAGATCCATCACAACCCCATTTACATATTATCTTTAGGCTATCTCGTTCTTTCTCATTTAATGTCATCAGGACTTCTTCTATGGAGGTTGACAGGCGCCTTACGATTAGATCAACCAAAGAATGTAAGTCGCTTTCAGCGCAGGTACTTGTTACTATTGCGCACCTAAGTTGACGTCATGTACCCGGCATTAGCGCCATCTAGCGTCGGGGACGAGAGCGAGGGGAGCTTTCCAGAAAATGACATCACTAATCTTTCAACCGACAGCACCATCTAGTATCGAAACGAAGAACTAAGCTTCTAGAAACCTGACACTCGAACTTTCGACGCCTTGTGCGTATTTACTTGAATGTTCTGGATGTTTCGGTGCTAATGTGTATTTATAGACGCTGCAAAGTGCGATCGGGGAAGTATTGAATTTGGCGAGACAAGCGAAGTTTCGGAGCGGAATAAAGTGAATCAGTGTGATTAATTATTAGTGTTTTAAGTTTAATTAGTGTAAAGTGAATTAAAGTGTTAATTTAGGTAATTCTATCGGCAATTTTTATTGTCACGAACCTCAAGCTCGTAACATTACTTTGCATTCCTCTGGCGGTGGGTAACATTCTTGTTTTGTCTTTTGTAAAAGGCTGTAACAAGGGAAGATCTTTTTGTTGGTATTTCTAATTATTTCGTACTGTCGACGAAATAAATCAGCTTCTACAAACATTGTCAATGCTTGCAATGGTGTAAGAGGGCAAGTTTCTTCTTTTCTTGTTTCAAAAAATGCCTTCTTATATTTTGTTACACGTTTCGGATTAGTACTGGTGATTTTTTTTAATATATCGGAAGCATTTCGTTTTCCACTTTTTGGCAACTCAATCTGAGCAGCATGAACGATCACGTCTTCTTCTACATTAGACCGAATCTCCTCAGTTTTCCTCCTTTTTGTTCTTTCACTTGAATCTCCGAATAACTTACGTGGGCGGCCTGGCTGATTTTGTGCAACAGCGGGAATCTCAATAGTTCCTTCAAGCCATGAATCATTGTATTTGCGAAACACGTCTTCCTTCTTATGAGCCTTTGACCACCTTTGTCTTAATTGGCTTTTAAAGTGAGAAAAGGTGGATTTAAAGGTCTTAATTTGCTCTTTTGAGTACGCTCCGCATGAGAGAAGTTCCTCATTCAAGAAAGTCAGTTTTTCTTCCAAATTAGGCAAATTGAAGCTCTGCATGCGGTTGAACAAGTGTTTACGGGTCACAGTTCTTGCTCCCGAGGTTCTTTGTGAACCTAAAACAATAAAGACTTCGCTTAAAAATTCACTTAACATAAATAAAGACTTTTATGTTTTCTTAAAAAAAAAATTAGGTACTTATCCGCGACTATCCGCGGCAAATTTTTGGATTTATTAGTACTCAAAGCTTTAAACTTTCGATTATATCAAGAATTATGACAGGATCTAACTTGGTAGTATAACATATTCCTTTTTAAACACAAATTATAGCTAAAAAATATTCCATATTACGCGTGACTTTCAATATACTAAAACGAATCGTTCTATTTACAAAAATTATCTAAATTATATTTAAATTAGTAGATAATTACCTGCTTTATCAGGATCCATAACTTTTTTCTTCCAAAATAAACGCAAAATAACAAATATTCACTGTTGAAGTCTTTGTTGCAAACGAACGTAACGAGAACAAACACATACACCATGCGGAACGATCAAATTCCGACTGCCCGTGGTAGCGTGGCATGCACGGTGAGAAGGCGGGAGGGGTTGGGTATTGGTCTCTAACCTGTTCCGCATCCCAGGTAGTCGTTTTTTTACTGGTTTGCATTTTATAAATTTGACTTTTTGCCGCGTGGATCGTTCAAATACCCGTATGTGCAATGGTTTAAATTTTGCTACCACTAAACCGTGTTTAACGCGTGCCTCTACAGACAACGTTCAACTTTATTCTCCAGGTCACACTGCAATACATTCGTTCAGCATTCGATCATTCGTTTTATTTTACGCAAATTAATACGTCTAACTACATAAAAATTAAATTTTGTTTTGTCTCAAAGTTCATTAATAGTTCTATAGTAGAAATATATATATATATATATATATATATATATATATATATATATAATATTTTTTTGAATGGGTCCCACATATATGCAATAAATGAAACCATATACTTGTTTATCGCCTTTGCTGACGATATACAAAAAATGAACGTAATTGGTCCAGTAATTAGATCAAAATGTAGAGTTTTAATTTTAAGCAAATTTGAACTCTCTATAGAATTGGGTCACTAAGTCAATGATTCAATGAACTTGAATCCTTGAACATTAAAAAGCGACGTTGCCACGCAGTGCAAACTATTGGTATTGCGACATATCGACAGCGGTGTCTTTTGTCGACGTCCATAAACAAGCGGCACGAGGCACGCGGCGTACTTCAAAGGCGACAGCGCAAGTGCGCGCGCGCCTGTGTCGTAGAGTAGGATACCAGTTATCGACGATTAGCTTCTTTCAAAGGGAGTAATAATCGATAAACAAAAAAAATGTTTGGCTTAAACATTTAGGGTATGGTTTTTTTAGAATAATCGTGTTGTTATGATAATTCTAAAAACACTACGACCTAAGTATTTAAAGCTAAACTTTAAAGCTTTTTTGTTTAAGTGTGTTCTTATACATTTAGATATAATAAATTATTTTAACATGCTAAAAAACCCATAAAAACAACCAATTAAAAAGTCATACATACTTACCCGTTTCCCAGGAAGTTACAAATCGGTAGTTTCGTAAGTTCAATTGTATAAAAATAAACTTTTTTTTTAACAATCAATAACTTGTCGATTGTTATCAAATCAAAAATCAAAATTACTTGTATTCAAATGTAGTAGGTAAGTAAGTGTAAAAAGAAAAGTATCGATAAACGATAATTGCACCTTGTGGCCGCCCTATTTATTACTTTTATTATTTTCGCCATTTTGGAATTTGGAAATTCGGCTTCCAGTTCACGCACAATTCTCCCAGAATACAGATGTGTTTCGCTGCCTACACGCATCGCAATTATTTATCGTAAGATAATTATCGTATTATCGTAAGATAAATACAATTAGTCGAACAATTCTTTTACGGTGAAATAGACACTTATTAGTTAATTGACTTTGTGTGTGTAAATAGTGTTTTTAAGTACGTTTATTTTTATTATTTTTTCACTGTGATATTGACACTACTTGACTTTTGTGTATACGTTTTGGCGGCGGAAAATGCCAAGACAACAGCATTTTTACAGTGCGGCAGAGTATACAGACATGGTTTTATTGTATGGCGAATGCCACACTTCAGCGTTAACTCTGCGTATTTATAGTGAGAGATACGGCGCAACTCGCGTCTGCCCTACTAGCGTCCGGACAATCCTAGGTGCTGTTCAAAGAATCAGGGAAAATCAGCGCATAGTGCCCAACACTCATGAAGGAGTTGCTCCGCGTCACTTTCCACCCTCGTTCGAACAACGAGTCTTAGACCATTTCGATCGGAATCCAACCTGCAGCCTTAGACAAGCTGGGCGTGTGTTTAGAGTGAGGCATAAAACAATACACCGAGTGCTGAAAAGGAACAAACTACGTCCTTATAAATATGTTAAGGTGCAGGCGCTGCTGCCCCGCGATAAGCCGATTAGAGAATCTTACTGCCACTGGGTACTGGAAAAAATGTCTCAAGACCAACGTTTCCTAACAAATGTGTTTTGGACAGATGAAAGCACGTTTACTCGAAACGGCATATGGAACCGATAATCCATGCGTTACTGGAGCCATACGAATCCCCATTTATTTAGGGAATCAGCTCATCAATACGGATTTTCCATTAATGTTTGGGCAGGCATTCACGGAGACCAAATAATCGGCCCTATTTTTATTGACGGAAACCTGAATGCACAGAAATTTCTCAATATTCTTAACGGCCCAATAACAGAATATTTAGAAGGATTGTCTGTGGCAGCTTACCAAAGGGTATGGTTCAAGTTAGATGGAGCTCCTCTACACTCCGTACTCCTCGCGAGAGAGCGGCTTAACACCATGTTGGGCGAACAATGGATAGGGCGCTATGGCCCTCGCAGGTGGCCAGCTCGATCGCCCGCCCTCACTCCTCTAGACTTCTTTTTATGGGGCTTTATTAAAAATGAAGTGTACTTAAAGATTTCCGAAACTGGAGATGAACTGCGCAATCGTATTGTTGCCGCCTTTAACAAATTAAAAGCCCTGGCTCTGGATCCTGAACGAAATTTGTTGAGCAGGCTTCAGGACAACATTATGCGGCGATGTAACTTGTGCATTCAAGAACGTGGCGGACATTTTGAAAATTTTAAAATTTAGAGTTTCATTAAATTTTGCTACTAATATGCAATAATATTTATTTCGTTCAGTTCCATTTTCGCGAAATAAAAAAGTGGCGGTAAAATATCTAAACAGTTTAGTGAGTAAGTTTTTATTTCGTCGCACATTGTCCAACGAACCATAGGCCGTGCCGACAATCGCCATGCCACCCGCGTGCGACGTTGTCACTCTTCCAAGGGGTCAAGGTACGTTGTCTAAACAGAGTGTTCACTTTTACTGAATTTATTTTAATATTTATTTTGTTTGAAAATTTCACTTTTTTATTTTACGGGTTTTAATTTAATATTTAATTTTTCTACACTTCTACGGACTAGTATTACTTGTGGTTTCATTTATTGCATATATGTGGGATCCCATTCTGTATATATATATATATATATATATATTCTTTGTTAAATTTTTCTTGAAATATTTTATTTATTAACAAAAAAAATATCAGTTACGCTTGGCAGTTAGATGAAGATAAATGTGAAATTATGTCAAATGCAACGTCTTTGTATAGATGTCAATGCTCAAGCTCAAGCGTCCGCGACCGTTGCCTGCATCGTGTTGTTTGTGAATTGTTTCGCTGAATTTAATTTATGTTCACTTTTGTCCTATTAAATAATGGAGTCGAAAGGAAATATTGCTCCTGAGAATCAAAAGAATCGTGCACGAGGCGAAAATTGGGCCCAAGAGGAAAAGGTTAGTTACGCTTATGTACTATTCGTTTTAGGAAATTGGTCTAGTTTTTAAGCCGTATGAGCTAATTATTAAGAATATATAATAATAACACCACTTGCTTTGTTCTTTACGTTTTTAATTACCTAAATATTTACTACTTTCAGGATCTGTTTTTGGAAATAATGAGGGAGTCAGCGCCTATTATAGAGAGTAAATTTACCGATACTAATACAAATAAAAGAAAGAATCTGGAGTGGATTAGAGTACAAAAGAGGTAATTATGTGGTCAGACTGATTTGTTTAGTTAGCTTAGATGTTGATCAAATAGATGATAAGACTATATTTTTTTGTTACACCAAATATTTTTTAAGATGGTTAAATTAATAATAAATTTGGTATTTCTTTTTATTGCAGTCTTAAGGAACTCACTGGGAAATCCAGAGATATCACCCAGTTAAAGGGTTTCTGGAGACGAAAAAAAGTGGCTGCAAAGAAATCTGTGTCACAACATAGAAGAGCTTTGCAAACTACTGGTGGTGGAGAAAGGCCAACATCTCTAGGTGATGATCACCTAAAGATATTGGAACTCTGCCCAACAGATTTTGTTATAGAAGAAAATCTTTATGACAGCGATGCGGTCCCACAACTACAAGTAAGTTTTTGAATTGTATGTACCAAATATAATGATGCAACTTTGCTTTATTAAATTTATGACTTTGTTAGATGATAAGATGCTTTATTAGATGATAAGAGATGTAGATCAGTAAATTGTTTCAGTAAAAATTATACATCAGAGGTTGAAAAGTGCGAGAGAACAATACATACTTTACAAAACGGCAGTAAAATTTAAAGTCAGGTCCAGACGAGTGTATCGTGTAATGTAGTCCACCGTGTAATATAACACGAATTCTACGTGTGGACGGCACTACGAGCATTACATGTAACGCTCGCGCGGCGCTCGGGGTTGATCCATCGGCTGTCGGTTTTCCGCGCGAACACTAAGGCGCTCGCAGTGCTCGTTTGGACGGCGTTCGTGACGGTTGTGTCGTGTGTACGTTCATGATGTGGAGTGACGAACAATCGCTTGAACTTATTAGTTTATATCAAGAAAACCCTGTTACTTGGGATCCAAAAACCCGCATTACTTTAAAAAAAATCTGAAAGCAAACCATTACATGTGGACCATATCCAGCCGATAAAAGACCCTGGGAGCATACCGCATAATCTCCCACCACAACCGGAAAACATGTTTATATAAAGATTGCGAGAAGGCCTTTTTACTATAGTGAAGAACCGAGAGATGCTGGCAATATTTAACACCAAGGCGGAGGCTGAATAGGAAAAGCTTAAAAAGGATCTGTTAGCTATACGGCCAGTCAGTCCGAAGTTGTTGTTTAAAATTTGGCAACTTTCTGACATAGGACACATAGAGAAAGTCATAGGGAAGTTTGCAACGTCACGGTATATACAAGGAGCATCCATAAACATTTGTATTGACGAAAAGTCCCTATTAGAGAGTGTCAATGCCTTAAGCTGGGTATCCCCTATGATGAGAATTTCAAAAATAAAAATTCAAAAGAAGACTCCTGGGTGGAAATCGGAAGAGGTATGGGCATATCGGAGCAAATATTCAAAAACAAAATAAAAATTCTGCTTTCGGGGTTTCGTAGAGAGATCCAAACAAAAAAAAAAAGCAGTGGGTCAGGGAAAGGTAGGTAACTGGAGTAATAATAGGTGGTATAAAATAAAACACTAAGGATAGTTGTTTACTTTTTTTTTCACATTTCAGGTACATCAGTAATATATAAAAGTATTTTTATATATTTCTGATGTACCATTAAAAATGACAATGCTCAAAGGTTCGCGTTTGAAGCATTGTCATTTTTAATGGATCGCGATAAACCGCGACAGTCATTGAATACAGTAAGTTATTATTTATATTCTTTTTATTTAATGATAATACTGAAAACGTGCGTTTTAGACAGTTAATAATGATTTTGGAATGAAATAGCTCATTCGTTTAAAAAAAATCCCCTAATTACTTTCTTATTTCTTTTGCATTGTCAGGAGACCGACGTGCACAGTTTCTTAGTGGTTGTAATGTTACATAATCCTCTCTTAAACTTTCGCTTTCTCTTATTCCAGAACAGTAAGTATCTGAATGAGCTCGTAAATAGTTGTGCAAGTGAGCGGTTGTTAGTACTATAACTGCTGCTTTATTTGGTTCTACCATTAGTGGTTTTCTTAGAACTCTGAAGACTTGTGCCATTATACCAAAAACGTTTTCAACAACACGACGTACTCTGCTTAGACGATAGTTGAACACTCTTTCAAGAGTACTTTTCGCATGTGTTTGGCCGGGAATCGGTTTCATCATGTTTTCGGACAGTGCAAATGCAGGGTCACCTAGTAAATAATATGGTATAACTTTATTACGTCCTTCCAAAGGTGTTGGAGTGGGCAAATTCAATTCACCTTTTACTATTAAAGAGTATAGTTTAGTATTCTTGTACTCGTATACTCCACCATCCGATATTCGGCCCTGACAACCGACTTCGACAAACCTAATCTTGTAATTAGCATCGGCCAAAATAAATAACACAATACTGAAATGGCCCTTATAGTTGTAAAATTCGGTACCACTGTTAACAGGCGCCTGTTAAACTACTTGTTTTCCATCCACTGCGCCGATACAATGAGGAAAGTTCCATAACTCGTCGAATGCATCAGACATCATTAACCACTCTTGAGGGTTGTTAGGCAACTAAAAAAACAATAAAGCTTAATATGTCGCTGACTATACAATAAAGTGTTTACATATATAATGATTTCTTAAATTTACGCGAACACATTTTAGCCTGTTTTGTTTTGTTTTAGGAAAATAATAATGATGCCATTCCCGACCAACCGTCTACGGCACTAACGAGAGTGAAGCGAAGAAAAATTTTTATCATTTAAAGAAGAGATCACTCACCTTATAAGTGAATGGAAAAATACCCAAAATTCTTTGTTGGAAAAGTTAGTAGCAGAAATTACCCCAATAAAGGAGCAGAATAATCAAATAAAGAAGTCAAACGAAGAAATAGAAAAGGGCATTGAATTTCTCAATTATCAGTACGAAGACATGGCGAAAAAAATAGAAAATTTGGAAAAAGAACGCAAGCAACATCTACTGCAAATAGATTCACTAGTATCACGGGTAGAAGACTTGGTAAGAAGCTCAAAAGCATCCGCTATTGAAATACGAAATGTCCCATCGCCAGCACAACGTGAAACCAAGGGAGATCTATGTCAAATATTACAAAATATTTGTAAAACCTTAAATGTAAATATATCACAAAAAGAGATCAGAGACGTATACAGAATCAATAAAAAGTCTGGTAAGGGCACTATTATTGCAGATATTACTTCAGTCTTAACTAAAGCAGAAATCATTCAAGGAGTTAAAACTTACAGTAAGCAGCATCCGGAACAAAAACTCAATTCGGCTGTTATAGGTATAGAGGGAAACCAGTGTCCAATTTACGTTTCTGAAGCACTTACTTCCAAAACACGTAGGTTATTCTTTCTTGCTAGAGATTTAGTACGTTCCAATGAATATAAGTTTTGCTGGACGAGCAACGGAAAAGTTTATTTACGTAAATCACTCGACGCAACACATATTGAGGTAAGGGACGAGATTCAATTAGCTTCGCTTAAAGGTCAGAAATGACTAGATAAATATTGGTCTTATTTAGATAAACTTATCATTTTTTCTTATAAAATTTATTCTCATATCTATCATTTAAGTTTTAGCTATAGTTGTTACAACAATTTTTTGCTTTTTTTTGCTTTTTAAATTAAATATAAATATAAACCACTTCTTAACTGTAAAACACTACACATATTACAAACCTAAATCATATTACACAAAACACTATACAACTTTCAATACACCAACAACATATGCTTATAATTATGTCACCAACAAAATATTTAAAATTCATTAAATGATATTAACAATTTAATTGCAAACCTAGATAACATTGAACCGGGTAAATCATTCATAAGTGATCTAGACAGTTGTAAAACGGTGGTACAAATACAACTTTTTACACTAAATCTGAAAATATTAACTCAAAATATTAGAAGCATAAATAGAAATTTTCCTCAGCTACAAGTCATGCTAGCCAGGTTAGATATATCGTGTGAAATCATAATTTTAACTGAAACATGGAACTCAAAAGTTTTGAATGCACTCATCTTGTTAATTTATGACTCCTACTGTACTACTCACAACCAAAATCAAAATGATGGAGTAATAACATACATAAAACATGGCTCTGGCTATACCATTGAAGAAAAAATACTGATGGATGCTTCATGTTTAATTATTAAAGCAAGTACAGATACCATCATACTGGGTATCTATAGATCCCCCTCTAAACGAAATATTAATAATTTTTTAAGATCTCTGGATATCTTACTATCTGATTATACCAAATACAATAACATTATATTGGTTGGAGATTTAAATACAAAAAACAATATTGATAAAAATTCAGATGAATATCTAAAGGAGACAATCAATTTTTGTATGGAGAATGGGCCCACCACAAATTTTCGCGTCACGCAATGAAATGGATGTCGATTTACCTTATAATCTATAGTTTACAAAAGTAATATTAGTTTTACCACATCTAGACGGAAAATCGAGAAATTAACAATCAAAATATGAATTTTAAAATAACCTAGAAATAAACTAAAAGCTATTTATAGTGGTTTTTACCGGTATTTTAAGTTAAAATAGTGCACTGTTGAATAATAGTTCATATAAAACCAAGTTGTAGGTACATTCAGCATTTTCAGGTACTTCAATATTTTTAGTAGTTACGGCAAAATATAGTGCCTGTCTGTGTACAAATGTGGTATGGATACAATTTTTTACATATATTGATTGTGAGTGTACTTCCCAATTACCGTTAAAATAATATGATTAAATTCAAGATGACTAAGGTATAATATATCCATTTATATTTACAATATTACCAACACACGTTATATAGTAAGAAAGATGTTTTAAACTGACTGTGTAAAAAACAAGTTATAATGCAACCGTATTTATAGATAGTAAATCATCATTTCCAACATAGTCTATATAATTCAGACATATAATTCAGATCTATTTATGCAGACAGACAGACAGGCCCGGTGTCAAGACTTTTTTTAATATGCTTTGGTTGATTATTAAATACCTAATTATACATCTTAAAATGACTGGGTTCTAAAATACCAAAATGACTAGGTAATATCATGCTTATCTGTTATTACACACTGATAAATTGTGAGGAAGTAAGATGTTTTGAACTGTTTGTGCCAGGATAACAAACACACAGGTATAGTTTAATTGTATTTATTATTAGCGATCCGCCCCGACTTCGCACAGGTGATTTCTGGATTTCGACAACAGCGCCACCTACCGAGTCCATATGTGAATATGAATCATATAGAGACCCATTCAAACACACATAAACATATCAATCAAATGCTTGGATGGTTTCTAACGGACATAGGTAGAAACATTTTTCGTGTTTTCATATCAAAAGATCATATTAAAAGATTTTTTCAAAATAACTTGATGGTAACATTTCTATTTATGATACGATATTGATATGTAATAAGTCC